AGTCTATCAGCTATCTAATGATGGTGTACCATACATGGTGGTCTATTCAGCTGTTTAATGATGGTGTACCATACATGGTAGTCTATTCAGCTATCTAATGATGGTCTACCATACATGGTAGTCTATTCAGCTATTTAATGATGGTCTACCTTACATGGTAGTCTATTCAGCTATCTAATGATGGTCTACGATACATGGTAGTCTATTCAGCTATCTAATGACTGTGTACCATACATGGTCTATTCAGCTATCTAATGATGGTGTACCATACATGGTAGTCTATTCAGCTATCTAATGATGGTCTACCATACATGGTAGTCTATTCAGTTATTTAATGATGGTCTACCTTACATGGTAGTCTATTCAGCTATCTAATGATAGTGTACCACCATACATGGTAGTCTATTCAGCTATCTAATGACTGTGTACCATACATCTTAGTCTATTCAGCTATCTAATGATGGTGTACCATATATATTAGTCTATTCAGCTATCTAATGATGGTGTACTATACATGGTGGTCTATTCAGCTATCTAATGACTGTGTACCATACATGGTAGTTTATTCAGCTATCTTATGATGGTGTACCATACATGGTAGTTTATTCAGCTATCTTATGATGGTGTACCATACATGGTAGTCTATTCAGCTATCTAATGACTGTGTACCATACATGGTAGTCTATTCAGCTATCTTATGATGGTGTACCATACATGGTAGTCTATTCAGCTATCTAATGACTGTGTATCATACATGGTGGTCTATTCAGCTGTTTAATGATGGTATACCATACATGGTGGTCTATTCAGCTATCTAATGATGGTGTACCACCATACATGGTAGTCTATTCAGCTATCTAATGATGATGTACCATACATATTAGTCTATTCAGCTATTTATTGATGGTGTACCATACATATTAGTCTATTCAGATATCTAATGGTGTACCATACATGGTAGTCTATTCAGCTATCTAATGATGATGTACCTTACATATTAGTCTATTCAGCTATCTAATGATGGTGTACCATACATGGTGGTCTATTCAGCTATCTAATGACTGTGTACCATACATGGTAGTCTATTCAGCTATCTTATGATGGTGTACCATACATGGTAGTCTATTCAGCTATCTAATGACTGTGTACCATACATAGTAGTCTATTCAGCTATCTTATGATGGTGTACCATACATGGTAGTCTATTCAGCTATCTAATGACTGTGTATCATACATGGTGGTCTATTCAGCTGTTTAATGATGGTATACCATACATGGTGGTCTACTCAGCTATCTAATGATGGTGTAACACCATACATGGTAGTCTATTCAGCTATCTAATGATGATGTACCATACATATTAGTCTATTCAGCTATCTAATGATGGTGTACCATACATATTAGTCTATTCAGCTATCTAATGACTGTGTACTATACATGGTAGTCTATTCAGCTATCTAATGATGGTCTACCATACGTGGTAGTCTATTCAGCTATCTAATGTATGGTGTACCACCATACATGGTAGTCTATTCAGCTATCTAATGATGATGTACCATACATATTAGTCTATTCAGCTATCTAATGATGGTGTACCATACAAGGTGGTCTATTCAGCTATCTTATGATGGTATACCATACATATTAGTCTATACAGCTTACTAATGATGGTGTACCATACATGGTGGTCTATTCAGCTATCTAATGACTGTGTACCATACATGGTAGTCTATTCAGCTATCTTATGATGGTGTACCATACATGGTAGTCTATTCAGCTATCTAATGACTCTACCATACATGGTAGTCTATTCAGCTATCTTATGATGGTGTACCATACATGGTAGTCTATTCAGCTATCTAATGACTGTGTACCATACATGGTGGTCTATTCAGCTGTATAATGATGGTATACCATACATGGTGGTCTATTCAGCTATCTAATGATGGTCTACCATGATTTGTCTATCAAGTTTTTTTTTTTTTTTATCCATAAGTCTTTGAGTGAAATGTATTTTTTATTTGGTGCAGCTTCTAGTTTACATAGTGAGCCCCTGTTACAAAAGGGAAGCAATAAATAAATAAATAAATAAATAAATAAATAATTACATGGTAGTCTATTCAGCTATCTAATGATGGTGTACCATATATGGTGGTCTATTCAGCTATCTAATGACTGCGTACCATACATGGTAGTCTATTCAGCTATCTTATGATGGTGTACCATACATGGTAGTCTATTCAGCTATCTAATGACTGTGTACCATACATGGTAGTCTATTCAGCTATCTTATGATGGTGTACCATACATGGTAGTCTATTCAGCTATCTAATGACTGTGTACCATACATGGTGGTCTATTCAGCTGTTTAATGATGGTATACCATACATGGTGGTCTATTCAGCTATCTAATGATGGTCTACGATACATGGTAGTCTATTCAGCTATCTAATGATGGTGTACCATACATGGTAGTCTATTCAGCTATCTAATGATGGTGTACCATACATGGTAGTCTATTCAGCTATTTAATGATGGTGTACAATACATGGTGGTCTATTCAGCTATTCAATGATGGTGTACCATACATATTATTCTATTCAGCTATCTAATGATGGTCTACCATACATGGTGGTCTATTCAGCTATCTAATGACTGTGTACCATACATGGTAGTCTATTCAGCTATCTTATGATGGTGTACCATACATGGTAGTCTATTCAGCTATCTAATGACTGTGTACCATACATGGTGGTCTATTCAGCTGTTTAATGATGGTGTACCATACATGGTCGTCAATATATTTTTTTGCATAGTTTCAATCACATGCTTTTATCTGACTGCCATGATAGTGGTGTATCATGTTTGTTAAATTAGGAACATGTAGATGCATGCCATAGTGCTTCTTGAGACTGTCTCTCATGGTGATAGATGATATCCATCGTTATATGAATAAAGACGTGATGGATATCTGAAGTTCTAACTTATCAATAATATGTATGATATTTTATAAATATGACCCAAATGTTGCTGTAATAATATAATGCTAATTTATGAAATTCTGTGACACGTCTAGGAAAACAGTATAAATTTAATTGTGTTCTTTTTGTCAGGTTGTACACTGTCTTTGCAATATGATCATAATAAGTTCAACTTGAACAACTTCAAGTCTGTGTTACAGAATAACTTTAAGGTAAGTGTTTTAAGCTCTGCTGTCGAGTGGAGCTTATCATATGAGTCATCTGTGTCAACTTTTTACTTTTTCAACTTCTACTTGAAAAATACAAAACTTATTGCTTTGTTACTTGGTGTATATGCTATTTGGGCAGACCTCTCTTAGATTTGTTCATTTCGTGTTGATATCTTTAATTTTTTAATTTTGATGAATATTTTGGTAATTTAGTGAACTTGGTTTTGATAGGTGTTCACATATTAACTAATTTTTTGTAAATGTTTGTATTCATTGTAAATTAAAGTGATTGTGTAATGGGAAAATCAGTAAAGATGCAACTCATTTAATAAAAAAAAATGTTTTAAATTATTTTCACCACCCAAGACACGTACGCCCCTAAACCTAGCACATTGTGAACAAAATTTGTAATTTTTATAATTTATTTGAGTGGGTACTCCACAAAGCACCTCTTAGTACTGAGTTCTAATGATGGTCAAAGATGGCATTACAGATTAATTGTACAATTTAAATCGTTTCATATTTCATTTTTGATTCTTATCATAATTAAGGTGTGTATGAATGATGATATCGTCTCTTCTCTATTTTTAGTGAATATTTTTGTATCATTTTGTAAAAAAAATAATATTTCGGATATTTTCTCAGAAGATACTAGCCCAATTACTTTGGTGGAATTCTATTAACTGTACACAATTTGGGACATCAATGTGACCTCATTAATTTTATAGATTGGTTTTTGAGTTTAATTGGTGGCCATATTGGTTTTATTTTCAATTGTCATTGCCCATATGAATTTCTCTGACACATTTTTCAATCAATTTTGTTTTAATTTTGAACAAGACATGATGGGTTTGGTGTGTATGCCAATTATATTTGTACTATTTGTACCCTCAAATATGAATTCAGCAAAATGAAATAGGGATTATATCATTGCATGATCATGACTTGGTAGTCGTCAAGAAGACCCTCGATATTTTAATTTCATTAAAAATATGCAATTAAAGGGACAAGGTTGTGACTGTATTGCAGCTGTGCAATTTTTTTTTTTTGTCAATTATTTTCAAGTCATTTTATTCATTATATACATTAGGTAAAATATAGTGATGTACGCTTCTCAACTTCCAAAACCAATGAAGGCAGAATCCAAGTAGTTGCTACTGATATGAATGATGGCAAGATGGCAATATCATGGTGCAATGAAGTCAAAGCTGATATACTGATAAGTTAGTAATCTGTTTTCATGTATTTTACTGAGGCTTGTCTTGTGTTTACAAGCATTTATAAGATAATGGTATACTAGGGTGTCATATGTGGTGAAGATTTCTTGTGAAATGAAGAAGTCGTGCAAATTTCGAGATGATCACAAAATCACAAAAGAAAGCTTTATTTCTAGAAATCTTAATACAAATTATCGAGTCTTGTGAAAGAACTGGTTAGTTTTTATCTCAAACCAATATTGACAGTTTTATTGTTTATTTATAAAGTGTGTAATATGAGTGTTTTGTGTTTTTTAATGTGTTGATAATCTCTCATATTTATGTTTACACAATTATACACTTCCACTGTGTTCTGTGACACTGTTCGAATGATGCAAACATAGTTGAATAACTTTTAAATGCTCACGACCAAAGATTTGCTTATTGTGAGATTTTTATTGCATATCATCTATTACTTAATGAGCTGATGGTAAATACTTTCTCTAACTGTAGACCTTGATGAATTTGGAGTCATTGGTGTGACACTACAGTCATCTGGTGAAAGTCTTCCACAATTCACAGGTATTTATTCATACTTCAATTACTAGATTGGAATGACACTTTAAATTCAAATTAGAACCAACAATGTTTGTGCAAGAGTTAGTTTAAAAGTTTTGGGCCTGACAATGATACACTTTTTGTACGTAAGAAATTATTTGGCAAATAAATTAAAAATGAACCTGTTATACACAGAAAGGTTAAATTAAATGTGTTTTTAGATTGTATGCCAGATCCCCTTCCCAGTCAGGCTTGAAGCTTGAAGCCAAACCTCGTATATGCATCCATGTCCAAGTTACCAATTTCTGCATTTTTATTTCAGCTGATAAACCCATTCAAAGTGGTGTTATTGCTGGAATTGTTATATCCATTCTTATTTTGCTTGCCTTGGTTGTAGTGGTTGCATTTTTATGTAGGCATAGGTAAGTGTTAGATACAAGATGATTACTTACTTATATTGAAGGATGATTACATTAGCTGTCAGAATGTTTAAATTCACAATTGTCATTTATAGTTATGTTTATGCATATATCCTACTCTCAGTACAACATTTCACTATAGACCAGTTGAAAGTACATGATTTCTGCAATTATTTGAGACATCCTAAGTCTACACATTAAAGCGAGGAAGTCGTCACCTTCACATGCATCAGACGGCCATAGCATGTCATTGTTTACAAACGAGTTTCTACCCATGAGCCTTTGCGTTTTTAGAATGTGTTGTTATCGTCGCTTGGAATTCGATTGCCGCGTGTGCATAGGTGATGACCCTCTCGCTTTAACTGAACTCAGGAATTGCTTTAAAAAAATCAACATATATATCAAACGAATCGGCTTGGTGCGTACAATATGACTGAATATAGTACATTCAGAATATTAAGGATGTGACTACCATGAACAAATAATTAGGTGTTGTTTACATGTCTAATTTAGTGGGTTTTTCAGATACACCAAAATCTGAATAATAAAAATAAACAAGTGAATAAAGACAATGGAGAGCTATCATTGTAAGGCGAGCATTTGAAAATGTTGGTATATCATATTTGCTCTATTACTTTGCATATCTAGTATACTGGATTATTAAAATATTACTAATTTTTTGACCAGACACACAACTCTGGGGTATTTATATTCTGCACCTTCAAGAAATTCAGGGACTGTCTTGCAAGGTGACAGCGCCCTCGTTAGTCAGTTCACTTATACTTTATTCGGACTGAATATTGATATGAGCGTTTTAAAAATTTTTTTTTGTGTAGGATTACTTCCAAGGGTCAGTATCCTCATAGTGGTTTAGAATTTGGCAATGCTGAGTTCATAAATCATCCAACTGATCCTACAGCTGAATTGAAGGGATTTGATAATCCAATGTACGATACTCCTCCTAATAAGGTAATAGTAGACATTTGTAATACTATGTGTATTTACTATGTATATGAGTAGATCACAGACATTCAACTTAATAAATAGGGCAAAAAAATTATCAAAACTTTTTGTTTTAAGTGTCAAATAATTTTGACACGTGTCATCAAATTTTTATATTTTTTACCTAGTACAAATTATTTGTTTGGAGAAAAACTGCCCAAAATGATGCAAAATTATACATTTTCCATAAGAAGCCATTTTAAAGCATTATTTTATGAAAAAATAGTAATAATGAGTATATCCTAATAAATCCTGACAACTATAAATAAGCAACCAAGATTTTTTCATTCTATGTAACCAAATGAAATCTTGAGATATGGTGATACATGTATTATCATGTGAAATAATATACCTTTGCTGAAATATCACTGCATACAAATTTGTATTTGCATGTGTAGGTACTTCCTTCTCGAGGTAACTGTTAATTATCCTATTTAGGCATTTTGGGATAAAATGTGGTGTTTGAAAATAAGTCATCGTTTTCATTTGACTGATGCGAAATTCTGTCTTTAATAACATAAAATGGTAAAGAATGCATAGATCAAGTTGGTCATTTTGAATCAAAACACATTACCAAAACGTGGTAATCATACCAAGTTTGACAAAAACTGTTTCCAGTCAGATAAATTTAATTGAAACTCCCAAACAACTTTGTTTTACCAAATTCAATAAACATGAAGGGAAAAAAAATGCCCACCAGTCAGCCATTTTGAATAAAACGGTGGTTTAGAGTATTCCAATCATGATTGACAAGTAGTTTTTATCAAGATCTTTGTAATGTTTTGAGAAATCTATAGTTGCGGATCCAAGCATTGAAGCTGCAACAACTTGTTAAACGTGATAATCCCTGGGAGGTGTGTAATACAAATCAAATCAAATCAAATCAAATCAAAAGGGCTTATATAACCCTATATGTATTAGCTCAACTAGGTTATATGTCAACATTCATGTTGATAATAACATATGCCAATATTCATTTAAATATTTTATTGTTGGTTGACTTGTTTCCCTTGGAAAGAGTATTCTTCTAAACATATATTGAGAGAAATTGCACTATTACAAATAGAAACCAAATTGCACTTTTTAGCTTGCTTGTAATGAACATAGGTATGGTGAGTTACCATGTCTGTCATTATCATTAACAATTTGTAGTGTCCACGAATTGGGTAATTCTTCTCACATGCTTATCCAACCCCTTGGAGGGTTGAAAGAGTTACAAATGAGTACTAATAGCTCCCAGAGTGTTGAAAATGGTTACAGATGAGTATTAACAGCCCCCTTGAGGGTTGACAAAAGTTGCAAATGAGTAGAGAAAATAATTTGGTCATTAAAAATAATCAAAAATATTGTATATAAATCATAAAATACAACAATATATTTAGCTGGGTAGGTGATGCTGTCTACATTCAAAACAATGGTTTAAATACTTGGCAAGAAGGTAGACATTTTTTGTTAGTGCATCTGTTGTCTATCTTCAACATGTGTGAAACCACAAATATGACAAATTATTTCATCAATAAGCATTTTACAATGACTACCAGTTCAACTTTCAAAAAGTTGTTGCAAAGCTGACATTGTTTTTAATTTATGATATATTTTTGATCAATGTATAATGTCAGTCAAGTTCAACTTTAATGCGTCTTACACATTTTGTTTTGCAATTTTGGAGATAAACATGGTACTATAGGTATTTGTAGAATCTGAAAAGAATCCATTCTAATCAGTATGTTCCATTTTTCAATCATATATTCCTTCTTTTTCCTTTAGCCAGTAGAGGAAGCTGGAACAAAGTTCAATCCAATTTACACATCAGTTGGTGTGTTGGATGAAGATGATGTTACTATGTTAGGATTTGCTAATCCTGTTGATATTGAGACATCATTCACTAAGGATGAAAGTCAAGATGATGATGATGATGATATTAAGAAACCCATTGATGATGACTGCAGTGTGAGTATATGTCTATAAGTGACATCATCTGAGATGTTCTAACATCTCAGATGATGTCATATGTTTGTGTATTCCAATGTATTGTTAATTTTTGAAGTGTTACTTGTCCATTTTGGTGTAGTAATGAGGAAATTGATGTCTGTACAGCCATCAACTGTCAGGCTGGGGTGTACAAGTTGGTTTATATTCTGAAAGTCAGTTGTAGTGTAATCTAAGGAGTATGGAATTAGGAATGAATATTTCATGTACAATAAATTAAATTGTCTCAAAATACATAGATTGTGTAAACTCACTGAGAATTATAATATAACAGGGGATAGGTCATTGGCTGAATACTATCCTAACACTTTGGAATCCAGAAACCTTCCAGTGAATAGTATGTGTCTATACCACTTTCATTCCATAATTTTATTTGTGTAATTTTTTTTGTTACAGATGTGAATGAAGTGAATGGCTACTTTGTTGTGCATTACTGCAGAGTTGTATCAATAATCTGTCATATGTACTCGATGTAGTTATAAATTACTGCTATTTACCCAAGGGTAACATTCACACATAAACATGATTTATTTTTGCTTTGCTTGTAATGACTGCAAAGTATAGTGAATACCGGTACTTTATCTTTTTTTGATGTCATCGTTATTAAAAATTATTTGTGTCCTGGATAACATTGGTAATGTTTGGTTATTTTATCAATGTATAATCTTGGTGAACTTCAATGTTAGTGTTTTTACCACATAATTGTTTTTAGAGATATTAGTGAAAATGCATCTCCCTGCCAAATTTTAGTCAGTAATAAATGTTGGTAGCCCTCCCTCCCCTTGTGCCATATTTTGATTTATACAATTAATGTTATATGATATGAAAGACATTGAAATTAACAGTTTTTGTAATAATAATAATAATTAGTAATTTGTTGAATTACAGTTATTTCTGTATCATATCAATCATGGTTCAGGGACTTTTATTTTAATTGTATTTAAATATTATTTTTCTGTGAATCTGTCATTGTTCTTTGTAGCATTCTTGTTTCCAGCTTCCAATTGTAAAGCTTATAATTTTTGTCTTTTATTATGTAAAAACTGTGTAATACACCACATTTTTGTGTAACTTGCGCATAGTAGAGAAGCTTCCCCATGTGTTTGTATGTTAGTATAGAGCAAAGCATATATTTCTATGTAATATTCAACAGTAATACAACATTATGTCAAGCAACTGATTAAATCTGGTTCTTAGGTAATCCTATTTTCCTTGTTTAGCCACCATGGTTGAAACAAAATCCTTCTTAGCAGAAGCACACATAATCATAATTAGGTAATGCTATTTGATGTTCATGACATGTAAAAGACAGACATATATTCAGTTTACATTAAATACAATGTTTGGTTTAAGTGTGCTTCTAATAGACCAGCAATTACTAGAGTACAGTACTACCTGTAAATTTCACTAATCATATAATAGCTCATAAATCTGAACTCCATATACAGACCTACATATTTCATTTGGGTTTATTATATTAATGATGGATTCAATGATGAACCATACAACTATTGTTATTGTTGATTGTGTACTTTCAATTGAAATAAATACTCATTATACAATTGTAGTGTGCATAAATTTATTTTTGTAAATAGCATAGTTTCTATGTCAATATCTGCAGCCAGAAAGGTAAGATTCAAACAAGCATAGCGAGGCATAGTGGACCCCATACATTGCGTCTCTAACACTATCATACAGTGTTTTTACGGACAAATGAGTTCTATTGTTTTCAGTGTCAGATATATAATAATACATTTTTATCTGTCCAAAGTAATGCATTCTCATTCATTCATTGATTTTGAAAAATAGTGAAACAGATTTGCTGGGGATTCTCTACTATTCATCACTAATCCTATTTCAGTCTGCTTTGCTTTTTATGTGGATTTTCATTAATTGCCTCTTCCCGTTAGCACTTTTTAAAATTTTTTTTTGCTCATTGCAGATTCTTTCATACTTTGACCACTTAAACATGGAAATTCTGTTTTAACTAAACTAATGCTAGTAAACTTATCACTAATGACATTCTCATCTGTCTAGTTTGTGTTGTACTTATACTTGTATATAATGCTGTCTTCTTTCTTATATCTGCTCTTCATACAATTGCCTTGTGTCTTTTTGTTTCATATTTATACAGTGCTTCAACATTTTTACATTGAATTACAAAATAATGTAACATATTTCCTAACTCTTTTACCATGCTAGCCATGGCACATTTGACACATTGAAAATATACTAACATCAAAAGAGCTTGTCGGTTTCTTTCAGTAGTTTTTTATGTTTACTATCATTCTTTTGAAAGTCACTTACCGGTATGTATGAAGCTGGAGAATGTTACATTTAAGATGTAACTTTAGAATTATAGACAATAAGCTGCAGATAACGTCTTTGACATTTCCAAAAGAAAAATGGTAAACTTTGAAAACGTACTAAAAGAAAGTTTCTTTGTTAGCATATTTTTCTTTGCTTGCCCATCAAATATACGGTGGCTATCTCTGTAATTTTCCTTCTTGACAAAAGAAACTTCATAATATGGGAGGGGGGGGGGGGGCTAGTGTATGAAGAAAAATATTACAAAGCAAATGATAAGGTCAACAAATATTTAGCATTGATGTCCTTTCCCTGTGATTTTAAGCTTTGCAATAGCATGTATAAGCTGTCTGAAAGTATATTTCATATTCTCGTTCTTATTTAATGACTGAAACTAATCCAAACCAGAATGTCTGTTATTTTTGGCAAGATGTTACAAGATATCAATCATACCATGGCTACAATATCTGTTCCCAAATCTGTCAGCCAGGAACCTGTGTTATTTCAAGGGTGAATATACTACCGGTAATACCTGAGCAGTGTAGTCACAGTTAGTGTTTACAGAGAGTGTAAAGTTACATTGCGAATGTTCCCACGAAAAGCAGTGCTTGTGATGTAAATAGTACAATATGTTTCTGTTTATACAAAAACTAGCGTTTAAATTCAACAGTTATTGGTGTCTACATTACCTGCAATTAGCACAGTATTACCATGCAGAATCACAACAAACTAAAACCCAAAGGTAGAAATGCAGGTGAATCAGATTGGAAGGAACTCGTGCACCCATGAAACGAGCACATGTACACTAGTTCAAAATCATGGTATTATTGCCACATATCACAATTAAATAAACAGAACAAAAATACAATACACATTTCATTCCTGAAAATGTCAAAAACGTATCCCTTGCCCATTATGGAACATAATTTATAGACTCCTTGGTGGGTGCCTCACACATTCATTGGTAAGTTTCTACTATTTCAGAATCAGTGAAAATGGAGTTGACAAGTAAGTGGTTATACTTGAGGAGTGGTACAGTGCACCACCAATAAATTAAAGTTTTCTTGGTACAGCAGGAAAGAAATTTAGTAAAAATACTACATGTGAACGGGGATGCCAATAATATCTGTATTGTGTTCACTGTGAGAAATACTCGAGACTATGGTGGGGAGAGGGGGCATACTGTTGTTTGTTATAAACCAAGGCTGTAAATGTAAACCAAACCTCAGACCAAACATGCCCAAACATTTGCACTATTGTAAATGTCACACAGTGATTATCAGGAAAAACAATCTTACTATTATTACTTCACACTCGCATCACATGTTTTGACATGTTATTGACTTGAACATCTTGCCGGTTCATTACCAAAATGATAACATTATTAGTAAATGAAATCAAATTCAAAAGAAAAATGTTAGTAATACTGCTATTAAACCTTGTATCAAAATGTGAAATAGAAAATTATTTAGACTTAATCATAAGCATTTTTTACCTACATGTATGGACAAAATGTTATTTTTAATAAAAATACCCTCCTCACATAAATATAACTTGAACCAAAGACACTAGAAAATAAATAGTGTCTTTGCTTGAACTACATTTATAGTGTCTGGGGTGCAGTTACTGTGTGGTGTGAACTGACTGGTACTAAGTGACAATACCCCTCATAATGATGAATCCTCATTATAATGGTTATTTGCTGTGATGCCCATGCCTGCAACTCACACATATTACATTTTTCCGTCCAAAACCTTGCATCATTTATTGAAGCATTAACCTGTTAAAATCACCATGGATATCCAAAGTGTGAGCAGGTGATGTAGTAAGAAACAGCAGAGTAAGAATACAGTACACTTATGTTTCTATAGCAACTGAAATATTCATGTTTTTGCTCACCACACATATTCAATTAAAAATGTGCTAATTTTTTTTTGACAGAATTTTAGAGAAAATTCAAGAAAAATTGTAGGGACAATTTCAGAATAAAAAATCAAAAGCCACATGGATTTATTTTAGAGAACAAATTAACTAAAAGATATTTGTTTTTTGACGTAATATAATGTGTAGTTTACAGAAAGAACAGATGACAACAATCTACTAGTACTTGTATTTATTTTGGAAAAATGTATTTTCTGTAGAAGACATATGTATAGTCACAGTACATGACATAATGGCTCTTGTGAGGCAATCAAATTTATATACAATAGTCTCGCAATTATTGAGTTATTCTGCCGTAAACAATAATGCAAAAACCACAAAGTGTAGCCACCCCCAAATGCATTTATTTGTAGATACGATATTTGGTATAATATTCTAAACTGGAATATGAAACATTCAGTCTCCAAAAAAGTGTCCAATCAAATTGTACATATATTTCATTAGATTAATATTAAATGATTTTTCCCACAACCAATATGAATATGTTGTCATGGCAATATACTAATGTACAAACTAAAACATATTCACAGAAAAATAATGGTTTGCATGCAAAATATACAAATAAAATATTGTATTTCATTAAAAAGTGAAAATTGTTAAAATTCATACAATGCTTTCAAGATGTTGACACACAGATAAACTATTTGTAATTAGTGAGGTCTACTATAGTAGTCCTACGGTGCAGGCTTATATCATAACAATAATAGCCTATTACAGCGAAATATAAACACTTATTAAGACCAATGAACTGATCAATTTCAACAGAAAATACACTTAAAAAAGATCGGCTTACAAAAAAAATATTTAGTTGTTGTCAGGAAACAAACAAAACTGAAAGAGGTGACCAGTAGACATCCATACACCAAATATGAAAATTTCACTATATGTGACAACACTCAGTTATATTATAAGCTCCGAATCAACTGTCAGTTGGATTAAAAAATTGAAAAAAGATAATGCTACCCAAGGGATGCATAAACTGTAGTTGACATAAGAGTCTGTTATGGAAGTTACCAAGTTAAACAAATTCATCTGTAATATAACAGTGATCCAGTTGTGGAAAATATGAAATTTTGTACTACGCATTCAACAACATGATTACAAGTAGGTGTTTGCATTTACTAACATTTGACATAGATTTTATCTGTTGGTGTAATTATACAATGGAAAGTTACTGTATCATTCACAATATACTCTGGAGCCAAGGAAGAACCAAACAAACGAATGTGATGAAAGTCAAAGTCCCTTACAGTTAGCTGGGTGGTGTAATTCATTTTTTTAAATATACTGCCATTTCTCTTACCATAGAAGACTGCCATTATTTTCACTGATCTTTCTTCACGTTCTGGACCGGGATTAGAAATCTCCAGAACAGGTTCTCTGTTATTGCTGCCAAGCCTATCAGTTCTGCCACCCATTGCAACAGAAACAAACCAATCCCAGTTTAGTATACGAGAAGTACCATTAGATGAGTAGGCTGGGAAGACTTTGACATATCGGTTATTATCATGGTGTCTTTTTGAATAGTTTGGCAAAGTGAATTTACACGAATAGCCCTGATAATAACGCCTGGGTGTGACTTTACACATTGCCCAATTGGGATTTGGTATGGCTGTAGCATGAAATTTGTAACTACTATTGATTTCATCTCTCATGGCCGGGTAACAGGCATTGATGGCTTCATCTTTTTCTATTGAGTCCAACTGCTCACCAGACATCATTGGATAGCGAACAATTGGTAACAATGTACTGAGATTGCATTTGATATCATCAGATGAACATGATCTATCATACGCAAATGCCCAATCTTTTACACTCTTGAACAGTGTGTACTCATCTGGAACATGCACATCAGAGGACTTCAATATTTTCACAAACTGATCAATATCTAGATTCAGAAATTTCTTGGAATCAATAAGAAGATCTATGTTTTGTTGCATAAATCCAAGACATTCAAAAGACAGACGTTTAATGGAAAACTTGGTGGCATACTGATCCCAGCCAATTACATTGTCACAGTTCAATTCCCTACACATGTAATCAATACATAAATTAGACAGTCTTTGTACCATGTATTTATCAGCTAGTGTTCGTAATGGTATCACAGTATCATCAGAAATAAAGATACGATTGGTATACAGGAACTTCAGAAAATCAGGGAACACTGGTTCACATTGGAATGCTTCTTCTAAATCAATCTCCTGTGTATTGCTTTCAGCCCATGTATTACCAGTCAACATTGTACGAAATAAGCAAATAACACCGAATAAACGGCAAGGTAAAGACTATGTCTAATTATAGTAAATACGTACTGCGTGCGTGACTCGAACCGGCGCTCGCGTACGGCACCTAATCGCCTAGCTACACGCCACTACACGTCTTCCCCTCGGCCACCGGGCATCCCCAATAAAAGGATGCTTAATAACCGAGCTTATTACGTGCAGAGAACGTGAAACCCGTCCACGCGATACGCGCCACACAGCATGGCCAGAATGCGGCAAAGGCCTTCAGATCTGGCTGTAGTAGGA